TATTCCATTATCTCACGTTTTCGTTTCACGTAACACGCACAGTGTTGCCTGATGAAAATTTGTCGGAGCAGTAGATGGGTGAGGAAAAAACAGTAGATCATCAAAACTGAACAGAAGATTTTTGATAATCATCACAATTTGCTATCATAAATGAAAGAACATAGTCACCTATAATAAACGAAAAAAAAAAAATACGAAAAATAAATCATGTTCGATCTCTATACCTATCAAAAATCGACGCTCTAAAAAGAAGAAAATAAAATGTTTCTTAATAATTTTAACTATCAACTTATAACCTCATTATACACAATTTATATGATCATAAAAGCTTGTCGCGCGATTCACTTGTGTGAATGAACTAGTACTTATTCAATTATTTAAAATCTGCTGAGATAAAATTTTTAAAATTACAATTCAATTAAATATTGATCGTCGCGACAAGCTTTTATGATCATAAAAATTTTGTATAATGAGGTTATAAGTTGATAGTTAAAATTATTAAGAAACATTTTATTATCTTCTTTGTAGAGCGTTTAAATAAAAGCTTTTCACTACAAAATTTTTTTTTTCACTTTTAATTTATTTTTTAATTTTTAGTTATTGCTAGCTGAATTTTTTTATTCACTCTCAACGAGCCTTTTCATTTGATACCCATATTGTAGAAGTATATTGAAAATTATACCATTCTGCCATCTTGGATAGACCGCCATAATGGATTTAGAATGACGTCACATCATTTTTCGAGTTACTCTCAACGAGCCTTTTCATTTGATACCCATATTGTTGAAGTATATTGAAGATAGCTATTCCGCAATCTTATTGGATGGTTCCCCATATTGGATTTAGAATATAACGTCACATTATTTTTCGAATTACTCTCAACGAGCTCTTTCATTATTTGATACCCATATTAATAATAAATTTTATTTACCATGTAGAATAATACATTACATCACATCACACATTCTCGTAAACCATGCTACATTGAGGGTAAATAAAGGGAGTGATCCAAATAAGTTCATTTATGAACTTGTCTATGAATATCTCATCAATTATTTCATTTGATAGTTCGATATGTTACATATTGAGGCAGGTGAGTTTTGATCGAGAGGTTAATAGTTCGTATAATAATGATAGTACATGTAAATATTGACTTAACATAATACCTATACATGAAGATATATTCATATGTATAACAAGGGGAAGCTTTCGTGACTGTTCTATAATAATATTTTTGGAAATATTAGTGGGATGCAGTCTGGACCAATGAATTAATTAGATTTCTTCGTTATTTGTCGAGCTTTCGAAAATTTTTATTTTCTTTATCAAGACTAACTGAAAACATCGAATGGAACAATAAGAGACAGACATCAACGATCTTAGTACCATTTATACATTCCTTCTAAAGAAACAAAAAGATAATAAATCAACTCGTCCTCCTTGAATGATTCATGTTTTATATATAATCTACAAACATTTTTTATATATCAGTATTTTTATATATATCAGTATTCATCTCACTCTGTATTCAACATCTTCAAATGAGTCAACCATCATCTATGACATTTTTTTGTCAAATCATTTCATTTTATTTATACACCTATGTTTCCTTTTTGTGCTGATTTTATATAGAATTTCATGTTTGTAAGTATACCAATTTCATTTGATGTACATTTATATTCTAATATTATTGTTCCATTCGATGTTTTCAGTTAGTCTTGATAAAGAAAATAAAAATTTTCGAAAGCTCGACAAATAACGAAGAAATCTAATTAATTCATTGGTCCAGACTGCATCCCACTAATATTTCCAAAAATATTCATATGTATATATATATATATAGTGAGTACTTTGTTCCATACAAGGTTCACACTACACGTAGTAGTATGTTCAAGTTCTATTAGTGATTTATATTTCTATTAATTAAGAGCAGTTGATAGATGAATTGAGTTAAATTTCGATAATATCATGGAATACTTTCCTGTGACAGGTTTGGATGAACTTTTCCAATTTTCCTCTGAATTCGTGTTTGGACATGTGGCATTTCATTGCCTCAGGCATTATATTCCATAGTCTGGTGCAATGAATGTGAAGCATTTTTGGCCAATAGATTTGTGGGCTCGAGGCAGGAATACATTTACTGCGTTTCTGTTCCTTGTGTTATACATATGATTCACGGGTTCAATGTATTTTTTTCGTTCGAAGACAAACTGTAGAACAGATTTACAGTAGAGTTGCCTGATATCGAGTAGCTTAGAATCGATATATAATTGGTCAGAAGGGTAAGTCGGGCTTTTTTGCAGGATTATTTTAAGCAACCGTTTCTGCAGGATTTCAAGAGGTAATAAGTGCGTTGTCCTGATACCACCCCAACCAATTATACCGTATTGTAGGATTGACTCTGCTAGGGCATGATATAAAGTTTTCAGGTTTAGGAAGCAGAGAAATTTCCTGAACTGGTAGAACCTATAGACAAGGCCCCGTATTTTTTTCACGGTGTTAGTAATATGGGTATCCCATTTCAGAAAACTATCAATATGTATTCCTAAGTATTTTACTGTTGATGCCATTTTCACGTTTTTATGGTTTATGATGACGGTTTCGTAATCTGGTAAATAACATTCGTATATGAAGTAAATGGCACTATTTTTGTTTTGCTTACATTCATAGTGAGTATATTTTCATTGAACCAGTCACAGATTATTTCGAGGTCAGTTTCCGCTGTTTCCCGAACTTCGTTCCAGGAGTCTCCCGTGTATATAGTATGACGGTATCATCAGCAAATGATATGATTGACCCGGTCGATTGCAGAGTAAGTAATTGATTTAGGTATATAATGAATAGAACAGGCCCTAAAACAGTACCTTGTGGAACACCATGGGTAATACTTTTTTCGGTACTGATTTTTCCATTCATGTGTACGCATTGTTTTCTTTCTGTCAGAAAATTGTTCAGTACTTTGAGTACTGTACCACGTATACCCAGATGTTCGAGTTTATCCAGCAAATTCCCATGATCTACTGTATCAAAGGCTTTTGCCAGATCAACAAAAACACCTATGCATGGTTTCTTCCGGTCTATTGCTTGGTAAATTTGAGATGTCAAGGCAGCAATAGCATCTTGGGTAGATAATTTATCGCGAAATCCAAATTGCATTGGTGATATCATATTATGCTTATCCAGGTAATTGACTAAGCGTATTTTCAATATTTTTTCGAACACTTTGGAGAATGAACATGTCAACGATATTGGTCGATAATTGCACAGTTTCAGTCTATCACCGGATTTAAAAATCGGTCGTACTATCGCAGTTTTGAAGTGTGTTGGAACATTGCCTGTTGAGAAGATTCTATTTATAATAAAAGACAATGGGCGGCTTATGTATTTGGCTGACATTTTCAGTACTTCATTTGTGATTCTATCAGGACCAGGTGCTTTCTCATTTTTTAGTTCAGTTATAATTTTATTGACTTCACATGGTGTTGTTCCCCTGAGGAACATGGATTGTGGCTGTCTATAATTTCTGAATTTTTTGTCTCCCTGAGACGTGATCTGGTTTGCTAAAGTTTTGCCAACATTTGCAAAATATTCGTTGAAGTGATCTGCTATGTCAGTGGGGTTACTGATGATCGAACCGTTTTCCAAAGCTAATTTCGTTACATTGCTACTGTTACTTTTAGATCCACTGAAATCTTTAACCACTTTCCATAGTTTTTTAGAATCATTTGCGTTATTTTCTATTTTTTTCTTGTAAAAATCGTATTTGGTTTTTTTAATCAAGTGATTCAATTTATTTCGGTAGTTAGAGAAGTTAATTTTGAGGTTCTCGTTTCGAGGGTTTTTCAAGTGAATCTGCCGAAGACAATCTCTATGTTTAATCGATGTAATAATACCATTTGTGATCCATTCTTTTTTTTTATTCCTGCTTAAGATCTTAATTTTTTCTGTAGCATCAACCATATATGTTTTGATTTTTTGTGTGAATAATTCCGTTGCTATTTCAATATCTTCAGCATTGTAAATATCGTACCAATTTTCCTGGCGAATAGAGTCGACAAATTTGTTATCATTAAGACGATCGTATGTCATGTGTTGAAATTTTTCATTTGGTTCATCATTTTCACTTGTATTAGTACATACAGTTACTGAATAATGGTCACTTATATTAGTCTTGATAATAGTTGAGAGCATATAATCTGGAGTATATTTTTCTGATTTGATTTTAGCAAAGATGTGATCAATGCAGGTAGCTGTAGCAGAAGTAACTCTAGTTGGCTTATTAATGAGCGATACAAAACCTTTTTCAGAGAGTATGTTTTTATATTCCTCGGTTGGTTCATCGCCATTTTCTAATATGTTGATGTTGATATCACCTACTATGAAAAATTGATCATAATGTTCTATGCTAATGTTGCTGAGGAAGTTCTCTAGTCCCTCATTGAAAGTTTTTATGCAAGTTGCGGGAGATCTATAAATGGATAAGATTGCAATTTTTTGCTTATATATCACCATTTCGGTGAAAATTCCATAAATTTCACCAATTTTAATTTTTTTGTAATGGTAATCAACACTGTTCTCAATGTAGACCAATATACCATCATTTTGGTTTATTGGGGTATCATTATAAACAGCGTTGTACCCTGATAGCCCTAGCAGATCAATGTCACTTATTTTCCAGGTTTCTGATAGAATAATGCAGTTGAAAGAATTTCCAAACTGTGAAATATATGCCTGAAATTCATCAATGTTCTTACCGACACTACAGATATTGTTATGAAATATTGAGAATTTGTTACCTCTATTCATAAATATCGGGACTTCAGAGTACGTTTCCACTTCTAAAGTGTCTATTGGTTCTATCTTGAAATCCCTTATGAATTGATCCACCTTATTTTATTACATGAGTTTTCAGATACAATTCAGCAGAGGAGATTACAATTATTAACAGGGGATGTTTGAAAAAATATGGAGAAAAACACGTTGGTTCTTCAAAGGGATGTTCACTGTTCCTTGCGAGAAAACGAGCGGGTTCTAGGTATTGTTTCCACTAGTTTGGACGTTTGTTTCTTTATGGCTCCACTCGCTGTTGTTGCGGCTTTATCTGGTCTTGGATCGTTACTAGTAGAAGGTTGGCGTTTGGTTTCTCGGTCTCGGTCTACTTGTATTATGCTTCTCGTTGTGGTTAATGTAGGAGTAGGTGGTGCACTTTTAACCTCAGTATCTTCTACCTGTGATTGAGCATCTAGCTTCAACAAATCTGATATTGTATACACATCCTGGTTTACATGCAGCTTGTTATTCCTGATGTAGCACGTATTTCCCTCTTCTTGTTTGGCTTGGAAAAGATATTTTCTTAGCAATTTATGTTCCTCTCTCTGTTTGGTCGTTTGATCCTCAATGATACTGATATTTTTGCCTTTTAGATGATGTCTGTTTTGTAGAACGTTTTTCTTAATCAAGAATGAGCTATATTCGATTTTTAATGGGCTTTTATCGGTATTTCCGAGGAAGTAAAAGTCATTTATATCTCTGGTTGTGAGTGTAGTAGAAAGTAACTGGTTGATTCTTTCACATATCAACTCAGAGCTCGGTGCATCACTTCTTTTCAATAATCCGAAAACGATAACGTTATTCTTCTTCTCAGATTTCTTCAGCTCTTCTATTTCTCCTTTGAGTTCCTGATTTTCTTTTTCGAGAATATCAATTTTTTTTCTCATTGTAGAAGTAGATTAAAAATGACCATTCCGCCATCTTGGATGGTCCGCCATATTCGATCTAGAATGACGGCACATCATTTTTCGAGTTACTCTCAACGAACCTTTTCATTTGATACCCATATTGTAAAAGGATATCAAAAATAGCTATTCCGCCATCTTGGATAGTCCGCCATATTGGATTTAGAATAACGTGACACACCTTATCGTGCATTGTCATCCAAACTGAACGTGTATACAAAATTTCTGCTCAATCGGTTGAAGATTTCTACTTCAAAATTGAGGTCAAAGATTCCACCCTAACATACGTACATCGCATACAAACATACAATGCAAGTTAAATAGGTAATAGTTATTTATGTAATAAGGATCATAAAAACGATCATTATGGTACAAGTCGTGAATGTTATCCGATAACACGGCGTGTGCCATAATGATTGTTTATGATTCGTATTACATACAAAATTTTATCTGATGGCATTTATATCAATACATTTTCGAAAAATTAAAAACTTCATTTTCGACATGTCACAATGACAACTATTTTTAAAGGAGTAAGTATTGTGTAGTTTCAAATATTAGTAGGTGAGTGAGCTGTGCTTTGCCATTATATTAATATTACAAATTGTAGTAATTGTTCTTTTACCATTTATAATGAATAGTTTTGTACATAGTTATGCATTTTGAATAAACTTTTTTGATCAAACCATTACATGTTTTCCTTATAGAATTTCATTATGGTACTTAGTACCATAATGAATTCATTATGGTACTTAGTCCCATAATGAATTCATTATGGTACTTAGTCCCATAATAAGCTTCCTTATGTCATCAAAATTGAGTGACATAACGTTGTCATTATGACATGCCATCAGATAAAAGCTTTTAACGAAATCAATAAAAAGGGGTAATTCGTCTCGTGCCTCGCTCACAAACTCACTCACTTCTCTTGAACACCGTAGTGAAGTTGGCGATCTGGCTCTATTATAGATATTTCCATGGACGATGCTCTTCTGAAATATCAACAATTGTTCCTCCCTTGGCAGTCCCCGCGAGATTAACCCGTCGAGTTGAGGCTTCGCACCCCTTCGTGGTCACTTTGGAGACCTGCAGAACATCTCTTTCCATCTCATCTCATTCATCCAACGAACATCGAGGTTCTGGAACACATTGCCAAGGGAGGTGTTTCCCGAGGCATATAACCTCCAGAAATTCAAGAAGATCACCAATTCCTACCTTATTTCCCTTGGTTCTCACGATGTTCTCTGAACATTACAGGATATCCCTTTTCGTGAGAACCAGAACATAAAAAAAATCAACATTAAATTTTCAATTGTCATCTGAATAACGTTGAAACAAAATGATTCCGAAAATATTTTATCAGTTAGAAATACATTTGACAGTTCATTCATCTTGAAATTCTGATATAATCTAACAAATCACGAGTCAATGACAACTTGTGTGATTGGATTTTTGTGATAAGTCTGTCGATTTATTTCCTAATAAAACTGAATTGCTTCGAGAAAACATCAAGATTTCCCAAAAAGCAGTAGAGATTGGTAGAGATGAGCCAGACCGTTGACTCCTGCATCACCTACTTAGTAGTACTAGGAATTGACTTGACTATAGACTATTGACTATAGACATTTCTGTTCATTTATCCTCTGTATTATTCTTTTTCATTTGAGTTGAGGACAATTTATTCATATTCTATAAAGAATTCTTCGAGAAAAACAGTTCTCTAGTTAAATTACAATGGTCGAGTATCAAATATATTTCTGAGAATGATATCCAATAAATTTAATGTAGGTAAATGACGCAATCAATAAAATATGAAAATAATTTAATTTGATAAATACAAACTCTCAGGGCCGGTTGCATAAATCATTATTTGATAGATGATTATAAATATCTGATATAATATATCAATTGTAACATACATCTTAGTTGATGACTCTGGAGAGTCGGTACCACGTTAAGTTAACAGAGAGGTTCATTCAACTGGCCCTCAATCACTTATTCCTAGGTAATTTATACAATTGTTCACAAGATATATACAAAATGTATCGTACAACCTGAGCAGAAAAGTTAATCGGTATAGGTAGGTACCCACAAATGAAATGAGAAAAAAATGGGGAATATTTCAATTCAGCAAAAACAACGCCAAATTGATTTGTATAATATGAATTTCACCCAAAATTTTCGAAATGGTGGATGAAATATGGTAACTTTCTTCCGATATTGACTTCATCACAAGCTGACATGACACTCTTTGTCAAAGGGCGAGGTCCACAACTGAAGACTCCAATTTTGCTTACCTGAAAATAAAATTGAACGATATAACGGAGGTGAAGTGAAATAGTGTAATAATAATCAGATGGATTTGGAAGCTTATTTTATCTTGTTATATATTATGGCATTGTCTAGTTTTCGGAGCGTCCAATCTATCGATCCATTATTCTCGAAAATATCATATTTTCAAAAACTATGTTCATCGCGGAATATTTTTCAACATCATTCTATAGATTCTACATACAATAGTCATGTTTACTCCTATCTCCTACGCTTTTTGTCAGAATGAAAAATACCACCAAGAGGGCGTGTGTAGGTTATATATATATACAGAGAAGTGCACATGAAACTGCCAGTACTATTACTTCTGAATCATTCGAGGTCGGATTTTGAAATTTGGTGGGAGGCAAGTATACCAAGTTGCCTTGTATGACATATAACATATTTATTATATAACTTTCGGTTTCAAAAAAGGTTTCTGAAAAACATTTTTATCAACCATAGTTAGATATATATCTAATAATTAGCAAGAAATTTCGATAGCATAGGGGACGATTAAGCGAATTAGCACCTGTGATTATAACGTCAACTTTGCTGTCATTAAAAATCGAACCATTCTGCCACTAGCGAGTGCATTTGCTTATGGTTATTGGACAATGTTTCTGTAGTAGGTATCTGACTTTGCTACCACTAGTGAATGCATCTAATAATGGGAGTAGGGCAATGTTATAATCATAGGTAGAGAACTTTGCTAATAAAGGTGGGTGCCAGCATATAGATATAGTTGCATGTTGGTTTCCAGTACGATTGTTGTCAGAAATAGAGGTAACATTTTGACTGAACTTTAATTTCACCTTCCATAATTTCCACCTTGTTTGGTATAAATAGCCATAGTTTATATATTCCCATAAAAAATTCAGGAGCAATGATCTATATGAAATTCAATGGATATCAATTGATTCGCCCTCAGGAAGAACAAAAGGTTTCTGGGTATCAAATTGAGGTACATTTTCACACAGCCAAGAATTGGCATTGCGAAGATTTTTGTCATAAGAGGTCTTTCACGCAGTCCTCCGTTATATGCAGAATATTCTAAGTTCCTTCGAGAATATCTCAAATCGAATCATATTGAATTAATTGAAGATTCAAATATCGATTTTAATTTGATTACAAATGATGCAGTTTTCTACATTCCGCATCATTGTGTCTTTAAACCTACCAATACGTCAACAAAGTTAATAGTTGTCTTAATACCGCCAAATACTTATAGCCCCTGAACAAAAGGATGTCTAATGGATTATAGCGTTTCGACAAATTTAAACCCATTTCAGAATATAGACTTCTCACTGTTACATAAATATGGTATGTTACTTCGGCACCTTTTATGGCCATTTGGGGCCTCCGCCATCTAGCCGAGGACAAAAAAAAACATTTTCAATCCAGTTGCTTCATCTTTAGACCACGGAGAAAGTACAAACGTTTTAGGTCTTAGGTGACAACCATTCTCAGATACTTTCTCCTATTACGTGTAACCGAGAGACTGTCCGTGCACAAAACGGAATATATTGTTAGAACTTGTGTGTTTGACCCGTTAGGGTTTTTAACATCCATTAAATTTTTTACAAAAATCTTGATACAAAAATCATGGACTGTAGGTCTGGAATGGGACAGTTTACCCCCAGATGATATTTGTCAATTGTGGTTTCGATATAAATCGTGAAGGACATTTGAAAAAGTAAATTTTGTCCTCTGTAGAGGGAATAAAAGAATACCTCTCTCTATCTAGATAGTGCTCTAATACTTGGGTAAAAGTCCCATGACTAGTGCTGCCAAATTTTTTTCTAATTTTAATAATTGGACTAGAATTCTGAATTAACTTTATTGTTCATTGATTAGTTTCGAATGAGTTTAAGTTTTTTATATTGATGAGATATCCTTTCATTCTGGAAATTATGTTTTTTAAATATACAGCGTGTCTCACTTCTAATGGAAACACCCCTGTATCTTTGGTAATTGTTTAGTTCTGAAATTTGCAGGAGCAGAAGATATAATGAGGATACAAACTATAACCAAGTGGTGTCATCTCCAGTTATATACACTGCTCCAGCCATGGAATCACCCGCATTTCCGTAAAATGATATTAGGAGGCAAGATAGGTTAAAAACCTCTTCGGATTCGAAATCAGAACGTCCTATTTTTCCTCAAAAAATGTTCAATTCTGAAATCTCAAATTCTGTCTCAGTTTCCATGGAAGCACCCCCGTATCTTACGTAATCATTGAGGTAGGGATCTGAAATTTGTAGGAGTAAAGGAGGGGCAAAAGATCACGTCAATCACGTACTTCCATCAAAAGTGAGGCAAAATTTAATTCTTCAGAACTAGAAAGTGTGTGGAAAAATGTTAAAAACTAGTGAACTGGACGTCCGGATTACGAATCCGAAGTGATTTTCAACCTATCTTGCCTCCTAATATCGTTTTTCGGAAATGTGGGTGCTTCCATGGCTGTTGGCGAGCAGTGTATTCCACTGAAGATGACTCCACTGGGTTATAGTGTGTATTTCCAGTATACTTCTCGCTCCTGCAAATTTCAGGATCCTAACTCAACAATTATCAAAGATACAGAGGTGTTTCCATCAGAAGTAAAACACACTGTATATATTTTTTTATCTGACGAAGAATTATGATACATAGATTATAGTTTCTGATGGAGTTTTGAGATTCATCATCTCTGAATAAAATGACATTCTGATATGGAGTGTATATGTAGGAAGTTCTCTAGCGAAAAGGACTTTAAGAATTTTCAAATGTCTCAATGCCTTCACACTACTCATTCATTTAATATCATGAAAGATATACACTCTCATCTATGAGAATCCATATATCAAGAAGAACTAGCCGATTATGAATGTCTAGAAAGAAAAGAGGAAATGTATCATTACATTTTTGATACATTTTCTCAATATTTTTTATTCTTGTTGGAATTTGTTTTATTGATTGATTCTCATTTCAGGTATTTTTGGTGATTTGATTCCTTTTTTCGAGTCATAAGATAGGGATATGTACGTATTTTCAATTTTTGAAAATGGCTCTGAGCTGATTCTTTATATTATATAGTAAGTAATGTTTGGAGAATGTTTTCAACCAATTAGGTATTCACTAACGATTGATTAATTGGGTTGGTTGAATCAGGAGAAAGTTGCGATTTATGTGATAGAAATTTTGGTACATCTTTATTATTTTTCTTGTGGCGTTATTTGTTGAAGAATATCAAGTTAATGATTTTGGCGTAAAGAGGAAACGTCGGATAGTTAATCTGATAATGCCATCGTATGAAGAGAAAAAGTGGCAATGTGAAAGAGTTAGTTCTCAATTTTGATATACTTCAACAAATAACGCCAACAAAATTGAAAATGAATTGCCAAAGTTTCTGTTCCTTCGATCGTATACCTCGGAATCAAAAATTTTGTCGACTGCATATTTTTATTATTCCAGATTTTTTGAAATTTTCTCTCCTCGTTTCTGTAAAATAAAAATATGAATATTATTGCAATATCCGTGTAGTAGTAGTAATCAGATGATTTGCCCCAAAATGTCACTGCGTTTAAAGACTTTTCCTATCAGAGAGAGCCTAAAAGAAAAATTCACCAGCTTGTCAGTGACACTCTGTGTTGAAGAAGGTTTTGAAAAGAGATATAAAGGTATATAGGAAAAATATCGAATTTTCACTCAGCTTTGGACGTTTCGGGAACGAACCTGCTCCCGTTTTCAACATAAAAAAATTGATATTTGTATAGCAAATTCGTATTCGTCTTGACAATTCTCAGTTCTCAGTGAATGTACCCCCTCCTCGATTAACCTACAGACAGTAATTGGCATATTTTTAATCAGATAAATGCGCAACTTTTGCCCTGATTCAACCATCTTCTTATCACCTATAGTTTCCGAGACCCCAATGGTGGCTCTCGAATGAAATTATTCATTTTAGCAGCATGATTCTCTTCACTAAAAACATATTTTCCTTGTATCCCGAATATTCAGTATCGGAACGGGTAATATCACAGTCTTTGGCCTCGCCTCTCTCCCCTCGCCAGAAAGCTACTTGGTTTCAAGATAACGTGAATACAGAATAGAGAATACCTAGTCCATCTGTTAATAACGTCCAAATGCTGCAATATTACGGGTAGTTATTGACGTACCCGGATGTATAATGAACGTATATAAACTACATGAACTACGTACGATGTACGTCCCAGTAAACACAAACATCCCTGGGATGTCACATTCATGCCTCACTAGGTAACAATGCGAGTCACAACAAAACATCATTGGTATTACCAGGAGACTCTTTATTTCACAAAACATTCGCAATATTCCTCACATTTTATTAAATTTGAGACCTGAAATGTTGGTGAATTTATGAGTCTCCCTAACAACCAAGAGACTCACTGAAACCTCACATCCTTGTCTATTCATGTAACGAACGGAATGAATCAATTTTGATGTTGAATGAGGAGTCGCATAATACGTACTGTGATTTTCATTTGGCATCATAATGTGAATCATAAAATGACCAAAAGGGTCCGAAATAGCAGTCATTGTGATTTCACTAGGCCTCTCATTTCGAGTCACAGATGTGATGTGTGGCATGAATGTGATGCCCTCTTACATCTCTGGGATCAATCTGTGTTAACTGGGGTTCTTTATGTACGTCCATTGGACATCAATCTATCCATCCATCCACTGGGCCTTTATGGACCTTGGTGGATGTCCACTAGACTTCCATAAGGTCCATACATAAGACGTACATGTGCTATGTGGGTTATGGCACTCACAATTTTCTATCCGCAATTTTGGGTGAATCAGCTGTAATTTTAGAGGTTGATTTCAGAAACATTGTGGATTATTGATTGTGTAGTAGGTACTTCGTTTGGCTGGGACTAGAGATGGAAAGGTTTTCATCTTCTTCATCAATGCTTAAACCACCTTCATACTTACATAACTATGACGTTTCTGAACAAACTTAAGGAATGATGTCATATCAGGCCTGCCAAAATGATTGACTGCTTTCAATCCGGTGAAGATTGAAGTCTTCGATAACCTCTGGAAATGATTCTCGCATATGTACAACATGGTTGTTCGCAAATCGAATTTGTGGAAGAACTGAGTGATGAATATATGAATTTCTAAAACGTTGGTGACGTCTTTGTTTTCGACGTCTCGAAGTACGTCGATGAACCATTCGAAGTGTTTGTGGGATGGACATATCCATAGGAAATACACCTGTAACAGAATTCGAGAAATTGTTATGAACAATAAATGTAATCACTTCAGTCCAGTTCTCAATAAGTTTTCAAGAATATGATAATTTATTCAAGATGGATATATTCCAGGTAGGGTTCCTCAATGTACAGGGTGTCCTATTATCGATGTTCTTATATACGGATTAGGTATCTCACTTATTTGTTTAAATATAGAAATTTGAGGTTTTCACGAACGTTGACTACTGCCTAGAGAAACTCACTATAGCTTGAATAAAATTGTATTAGCTCGCTTCGTTTTTGAGGCTCAGGGTGAATTTAAAATGTTGCATTATGGTACCCGCGAAGTCATGTTTTTTTCAAAATATCTAGAACATTGAGGTTTTGCCCTTTTCAAAAATATATAACATTTACTTATACGATATTTTGAGTATTAGCCTTGTATCTAGATAATTTCCAGTTTTTTACTAGGTTTCTTATTGATGAGCTTTGTGATGTGTTGCAAACTTTCCATATCATACATTGTATCTACATCATGTTGCTATCACAGTGTTTCTTCACACTATAGTTTCAATTTTACCAACATTAAAAATTTACCAATATTCCAATTAAACTACTTATTGACTATGAAAAAAAAGCAAGAGTATAGGATGTTTTATAATTCATGTCGACTGACTACCTAGATCTCATAGCTCATAGATATAGTCTATGGTAGAAGTTCATAATGTGGTAGTGGTATTGTAAAAGGAAGGAAGGAAAGCTCGGAGTCATTTTTCAGGCTTTGATCTTCTCCTTCCCACTTGTATCTTTTTTCCTCTCCACATTTGTCAATAATTAGTTCTATACTCTAGCTACTGTTCCATGCCTTTACTCATCATATCATAATCGCATGTTTCAGCTATGTTTGACTTTGACTCATGTCATTGTCTTGTCTAACGTCATGTGTAGACTCAAAAATTATGTTCTGTGTTCTTCTAACCCATCATCAATTTGATTTTTGCATTAATAGCCCCCTTCGGAAAAGTAATAGTGTTTCAAAAATGGTTGTTTCGGGAATTGTTTTGGCAATCTCCCATCATACACCATTCTGGTGCATGATATTTGGTATTCAATAGTTGTATGTGCTCTCAGGGCTTGGGGCCCTTCATTCAAAGAGAACCCATTTCTAATATCCTGACACATGAGCTCGTGACTATATGGTCATCGACAGGCATATGACTAGTTAACTTTATGAAAATTTTTCAACTCCAAGTTAACCAAATACTTTTAGTTCGTCTCACCAATCCTGTTTGTATTGTAGAACTTCTTATTGGGCTAATGATGGTCTTTTCTGAGACCGAAACATGTCTCTGATTGTTCAACGACGTCATTAAATTGTGTGAAAATGACTTTTCTTCCTTCATTTGACAAAGAGATCTAGGATGAACAGAGTTGCCCCAATTGTCCCAGACAACTGGGACAACTCTGCTCTGAGTATATCACCCATTTCGAAAACGCATGATGATGCAGTCATGCAATCGCCATCTAGTGGAGTCGTCAGAGTCTCCACATGTTGACTATAGATGGCAGCGACATGCTGTGTATGACGTATCGAAAGGTACGACCTTAGAAGTAACGCCACTAGATAGCAATATCAATACTACAAAAATTTTGAAACCAGTTCATATTCCAACCAAAACTAATTTTTCCTCAAGATACAGAAGTTATTGTCCTTCAACATAAGGACCCGTCAACTTGGAGAACTCGAAGGTTTACCTCCATATTTGAGACTTCATTCTGGATAATATATACGACATGATACATGTTTCGATTAAGTTCAATATTTAGATGTATATAGGTATGGATTCAAACGAAGAAGATTCTGCTGGAATACGTTCTGGTTTTCCTCAAATTCAGAATTGAAGTTGATATACTTTAAGAAGAACATTCTTTTTTCCTGATATATATATTAATAACAACACTACAAAACAGTTCATCACACCAATCTGAGTTAAAGTCAATGTTCTCTAAATTACAATATGATTCATTATCAATTCTGAATTATAATTGAGAAAGGTGTAGGTAGTCATCAGTATCTTGAAAAGTCTTGGCGATAATAGCATATCTATTAGATCTAGATTCAATTGGTCAACTGATAAATGATATCAAAAAAGTCTTAAAAAAATGGTGACCGATGCAACTGAAAAAATATAACAAACCTTTTTACATGCCACCCCCGAATATCTATTTGTCGATGTTCCGAACACCAAATCGTTCAATATCGAAGCGTATGGGGTAACACCAATGCCACCGCCCACCATGACAGCAACCTCGAACTTGTACCAGTCCTGGTTGCCGCCGCCGAAGGGACCTTCCAGCAGAATTTTCGGCTGATCTTCGGCGTTGTAGTTGCATGGATCGAAGTAGTTACGGAGTTTCCACGTCCATGGACCTGAACCAACAAAAAATGATGGTATAACTCACTTACATACTTGTAGTTCCTTGATGAATATTACATGTGGTGCCACAAGGGCCAGTTTTGGGGCCCATTTTTATTTTTAATTTACATTAACTCAATATCTACTTTGAAATTGAAAAGAAAACTAGAATTATTTGCAGATGATACAACAATAATCTATACTTCAAAAGATTTCAAAGATAACAATAATAATGATATTAAAAATGATTTGGAACAAATAACATCTTGGCTAACGACCAATGAGTTGACTCTTAATTATAATAAATCTACGTATATGTACATATGAAAAAGGATAACTGACATATTGAATAATACCCCAATATGTTTCAATAAGAAATCCATTAATATAAAAATGTAACACAATTTTTAGGTTTTTATAATGATGAAAATTTATCGTGGGCTCAACATATAGATCAGTTGAGGTAAAAACTGAATCCTCTTGCAGGTATTTTATATAAAATTCGAAATTTCATTCCTGTTAGATACACAAGGATTATTTATTTCTGTATTATTTATTCAAATTCACAATATCTAATATCTGTTCGGGGAAGTACAAATATTTCACGTTTGAAGCCACTCATGAAATTACAAAATGTGCATTTTCAATTTACCTTTTTTGGAATCAACTATAAATCGATACAAACCTAAAGACTTGCTGAATCTAGTTTCTAGTTTCATTATGAGTAATACGATTCTCGCCGATGAAACAATTCGATTCAATTCATTGATAGCCAATAATTTCAAATTTTCGTCAAATTTTGGTAAACACTCAATATTCCATGGTGGAATAATTTTATATGACTCCTAATGAGTTGAAAAATATAAAAAAAGCAGAAAGATTTAAAATCAATTTTGAGAAATATCCCATATCTACTAATCAGTCACGATTTGATTACTTCGAAGGAATTATAATATTTTCAATTTTATATATATTTTTAAATGAAAACCAATAATTGTGCAATTATTGTTCTAATTTATTATGTTATATAGGTTTTGTTGTATATACCCCTATTATAAACAATAATGTTTCTTGGGGTAATGAAGACAATCAAGTCGATCAATCAGAAATAATCTAATAAAATGCCACTCGTGATTGAATTCATCTCATAAGTCTGTGTTTCATTCACTCACTTGTGGTATCACTACTGAATACCTCACGCTCTCGTGGTGCAAACTGGTGATCATAAAAATTCACTAAATTTTCTGACACCTATTTGGAATGATACAGGAACACCTAATTTCCTCTTACCTTGTGCTTTAATGTGGCATGACAGGAAATTCTCATGCGGTGCAGAGGTGAGGGTGAAAGAATGAAACTCGTAGTCCCTGAATGCTGTACAACCTAGTCTCACCCACTGACCAGAGAGATATTTCAAATTCGGCGGTCTGTAGAATTTTATTTTGATGACATCAGAAGGTAAAAGTTCGGTTTCGATTACATCTAAAGGAATATACCTTGTTCTTAAACTAACCACCTGAAACATGAAACATTTGCCATTGATTGTTTGGGACAAATTATAGGGTATATATGATATCCGAATGACGGATAGAACAATTTTAGAACAATTTTTTAAAACAATATATGTTTGACAATTTTGAATTTTGATGATCATTCAGTTATAATTCGTTATATTTACTTCACTTTGTTAGTTCAATCCACATTAGGGATACACTTATTCATGATGGTTACTGTTCAATTATTGAATTAATATCTAGTAGGTATACTCATTTGTTTAAAAAAAAAATTATTATTTTGATTTTGACAGTTTCTCTGGCTATACGCTGTTGACGAGCGATCGTGCGATCATGACCTACTTGTGGAATTTTTAAATAATCCCCTTACTTTTACGTATGAATTCAAATATACAATATCGGATTCTCATTGAAAGAGACGTATTTAATCAATTTTATCAAACCACCACTGGTGAGCAGACTTAACAGTTTGTATCAATCCAAATCTGAATGAGCAGTTGATGAGTTGAATCGCATGACAACTAATAAACAACATATCAACACCAATCACGGCAAGCGTACAAACTAATTTGATAGGTAGCGTATGCAAAATTGATTTGCTTGAAAAAGGAGGGCAAGAAATCAGAGGCCGGTGTTCTTATTTTGCCTTTTCGTTAATTAGTGCTGGACTCATCTTTTCTGTTCTTTTCCACTTGGCCCAGTTTCACCCAACTCAATTTTCCTCGAAGTTCTTTTTCATCCTGAACTAAACATGGTATTTCGTATACCGATATCAAGTAACAGTTTCTTCCCAATGATCATGATTTAAATCAAATGCCCCGATGGGTAAGAGGACGATCTAGTCCTTAGAGAAATCCAGTGGCAAAAGTGCGAAGGTGTATAAGTAGATTGTTCAAACAACCATACCTTGCGGGTTAGTCGAATATAGACCCCTACGTCCATATTATTACAGAAATACAAAAATGCCACAATTCTGCAGACTATCGCAACACCTGATATCCTCAGAGTGGTTCAATATCCCACCGACAGATGGTGAGGAATCTAAAATCTCAAGACTGAAAGATCCTATAGGGAAATTTCGTGAATCAATTATCAATGGTTTTAAAAATTTCAACCCAATCGGTCGAGCCGTAGTAGACGTACCGACAGCAGCTCCACCTACCGCGTCCAATTGTATTTTTGAATCATCCAGGAAACCGTCGATATAAAATTTCAACCCAATTAGTTTAGCCGTTTAAAAGTTAGGTGAAAATGATAAGTACGGAAGAATATGTCTTACTACCCGTTGTCCTATTACCCGTTTTACCGTAGGAATGAAGCAAACAAACAATGGAATCTTTCCTTTTCATAATATTATTATAGATGATATATAATGACAACAAATAACAACACAACGATGTACTAATAATATTCGAATACAACTATTCTGCGACTGGCTTATATAAGTCTATATTAGCAAAGTTATTACGACTACATTACGACGATGTGACGTCGCAAAAGTACTTCTTTTTATCGTACCGACGTTTGAGCATAGTACCAGGTGAACAACTATAAGAACGGCTGTCGGCGTGATCTGGAGTATCAATAGATATCGTGAATCAAAAATGTAATCTAATGTAATTATAACAATATACAGAAGCAAATGTCGCTTGCAGTGCTTTTTATGATAGTGTGAACTCTATTGTGGAAAGGAATGTCCCAAAAAGGATCAAAACTACTCGTAGTTATCCACCTTGGTACAACTCAGCTGTAATAAGAGATATACGTCGAAAACATGAATTTTGGAAAAAATTCAGGAAATCTGGTGATGAAAGGGATCTTGTTGAATTCAGAAGACTGAGGAGAGATATCAAGCTCAACATTGCAAAACTCCATCGTGATCATATTCGTTATATAGAAGAAAACATCACTACTAAGCCCTCTGCATTATGGAATTACATGAATTTCAAAAAAAGTAATGTAACCCCACCGTCTACCTTCAACTTCAACCAACAAATCCTATCTGAGTCTCGAGACATATCTAATGCCTTCGCTCAATTTTTTCAGCATTCTTATGCAACTCCCAAAAATACCACTTTTGCTGATTCATTCAATAATATTCCTTCTTTGACGATACCTGAAGTGACTGAAGAGCAAGTATTAGTCTCATTGAAAAAACTTAAACCCAAATTAACTAGCGGACCTGACAACATCCCATCTTTCGTCTTGCGTGATTGCGCAGCTGCCTTCGTGAACCCGCTTCGTACGTTATTCAATTTATGTCTCTCAACTAATACTTTTCCTACACTATGGAAAGAATCGAAAATTATACCGGTCCATAAGAAGGGGCCTAAATCAGACATTTGCAACTACCGCCCTATAGTAATTATTAATAATTTTTCAAAATCTTTTGAAATTCTTCTCTACGATGAAATCTATTCGCACGTTAGAAATCAAATTACCCCTAGTCAACATGGTTTCTTCAAAGGAAGGTCAACGGTCACAAATTTAGTTTGCATCACAGAGAAGTTATCTGATACCATTGATGATAGCTCTCAATGTGATGTAATTTATACGGATTTTTCGAAGGCATTCGATAGGCTGGACCATGGAACTCTACTTCACAAACTTTCAAACTATGGACTAACTCCAAATCTCACATCATTTTTCCAATCTTACCTTCTTGATAGAAAGCAGTATGTAAGCTTCCATGGTCATAGGTCTATTGAAGTCCTTCCTACGTCAGGTGTGCCCCAGGGGTCTAACCTCGGGCCCTTACTATTCATAATGTTCATCAATGACATTGTAGATACTCTCACCATCAATCACCTATTGTATGCTGATGATCTTAAGATATATCATGAAATTGTCACCGAAGAGGATTGTACTGTTCTACAAGACAATCTTAACAGACTCAATGCCTGGTGCATCGAGAATAACTTATTCCTTAATGTCTCCAAATGTCATGTTATGTCCTTTACCGCCAAGGTGAATCCAATTATTTTCAATTATAAACTAGACAATGTCGCCTTGAACCGACCTGAAACTTTCCAAGATCTAGGAGTAATATTTGACAAAAAACTATCGTTTGGAAATCATATCGAGCAAGTCATCAAAAAAACGTATAGATCTTTGGGATTCATTATTAGAGTATCAAAACATTTTGGAAGAAATGAGAAAATGCTTCTGCAATTATACTTCACATTTGTTAGATCGAATTCAGAGTATGCATCAATAGTTTGGGCACCTCATTATCAGGTACATATATCTAATTTGGAAAATATCCAACGGAAATTTTTGAAGTACTTATGTTTTAAACTTGATGGCAACTACCCAGATGTAGGTCATCCACATGATCAACTTCTTTCAAGATTTTCAGTTGCTTCACTTCAAGATCGTCGAAATAGGTCGCATGTTATATTCCTTTTCAATGTTATCCGGAACAATTTGGACTGCAGCTGCATTTTGGAGATGATACACTTTCATGTTCCCAGACTCACAACCCGGAGAAATAATAGTTTCTACCTTCCACTTTGTCGCACTAATGTTAAATTCCATGCACCTGTTTACAAGATGTGTTCGATATATAATACGATGAATGAAACCATTGACATCTTTTGCTGCAGTTTGGCATCCTTAAAAAAACTGGACTGTTCTGTTTTTTCCAATGTGTAATTTTATGTATTAAGAAAATAATTTTAGTAATACACTTAGTATATTCCTATTCTGTAATTGGATCTTGTATCTGTTGAATAGTGTAATAAAAAAAAAAAAAAAAAAAAAAAAAAAAAAAAAAAAAAAAAAAAAAAAAAAATAACACGATCAAATAGAGAAACTAAATCTCAAGAGACCAACGAAAACTGCGACATGATAGCTTTTCGCTAACGGAAGATATTGACGATGAAAGTTGGAAAAAGGATGATGACAGCCGTTCTTGGTTGTTCACCCGGTACAAGACGTGAATCACAGACTTTTGAATATGGTGTTGTAGATATGTATGGATAACCCATTGGTAACCTACGTGTAGTACTGATTATAGGGTGACGGTGATGGGTTAATTTATCACTTGTTTTTCCATATTTAGATTAGATTAAACAATTGAAATAACAACTTTCGTACCCCTTGTGTTACATTTGTATCTTGCTTAGTTTCTGAGGAAACAATAAGAGTTCGATTTGACTACAGATTCCACAGTAGGTGCTCTCAGACACCCATTGAGATTACCCAATAGCATGAATAAGAAACATTTTGAAAGTCTGGGACTATTTGTCAGTCTCCAAGCATACTGAATTTTGGATTCGAAAAACCCTACTGTGGAATTTATTACCATCGTATGATTCTGGAGAGCGTGATGATGACCGACAATTCATAACCACATCTGATTAACATGAAAAAACCATTATTCTGATCTATAATTATATTGTGTTTTACCTTATCTAAGATGAAAATGATACCGGGTCCGATAAAGAAAATCCAGAATCTGGGTGCTCCTGTTAGTCTAGCTAAACCATGTATCAAGCATAATCCATAGAATACTATGTATAAACTGTGGGTGTACCAGAAGAATTTATACGCTCTCTTTCGTATTGTTGGATGAGAAAAAACTATAATCATACACATGATCATGAAGAGCAATACTCCAGTGATCCCTGAAATATAACACATTATGTTATTGCTAATCTATCTATTATTACATATCCAATAAGATATATACAAATAGATCCATTATTGTTTATACACATAGGATAGAGGATAGTCTAGATTTATATACGCGCACTCATCGTTAAAAACATCACTATAATATTGTCAGAAATTCTTGAAAGCACGACATGTTCCGCTTCTTCAAGTACAGAATTTATGCGTGATTGCAACATTCTATGGTTTGTTTTTCACATTTACCTGATATGAATTTTCATCAAGTAACGGCCAAGCCAATACAAAAGAGTAATATTTTATGTTGCATCGATTTATAAACGTATATTAACGTAGATTCATTTAGCTAGGTGATTTCTCAATCTTCATATCATTCGATATTTTTCCATATTTTACATTTTTTATCGTCAAGCTTTGAGAGAATCATATCTTCTTAAACAATAAAGTATTTTTTTGCCTTCTACTCTGATTAATTTTGAGAGGTGATAGAAGCTCGCGAAATATATAGACTCACCTCAATAGATAAAACTATGAAAATGTTCCATAACTTGAACACTATGCATTGAAGTTTGGTTTAAAAAAATTTTAAACGTTCATATAGTATATGAGGAAATACTGTAGTGGTCATCGACAAATTCGGCACACTTCCATATTCTATAGGTATGTATGTTATAATCATATGATATTTCAAATCTCTATCATTGAAAATCGTCCTTGAACTCACTGATAAAAAGACGAAGGGCAATCCAAAATGCGCAATCAGATGTCCCGATTTCTGCGCTACGCCGCAATTTTTCATTGTTTACTTTAACAAGTGTGAAGTATAGTTACCTGTTATAGTTTGGAATAACCAAAATGTAATTCCTGGTTTATAATCAGAAGGAAACCTGACTTCATTTGTGAGACATTTGAGATTTTCAACTGGCTGTGTCGAGACATGATAGAAGTTGATGATGTGTCCCACTGTATGCAGGAGCGAGAAGAATAAAGCAGTACAAGCCGATATTTTGTGGAACTGTATATGGGTATCCAAAGGAATGTACTGCTGTATCGAAAATTGTTTCAGTTTCGTTATGAGATTCCTAGACATAGTGAGGAGTAAGATGCTATAGCAAAAGGATAATGATGCCGCTGATCCTCTGGTGATTGCTATTCCTACACCCATGATATGTCTCAAGTCTGTGTGTTCAGCCATAAAGGAGTAATCTAAAATTGAAAAAATATATTATACCATATTCATCGATCCAGGCTTCTCGTGGACAACATGACATAATCGTTCATTATCGCCCACGTCTCTGATATTCCAATTGAAATCTTATAACAGGTGACTACAATAACATTAGTGCTCCCTCTGTACAACTTCATTCGAATGGTTTGTATATTTCGAGATAGTGTATGAAGATTATAACTTCAAAATTTGTATCCATTCTCAAATCCGTTCAGAAATATTCAACTTACGGAGATGGGGACAAAAAAAAAGCTGAATCATCTTGGATATTCAAGTTTCCAATATTACAGAATTCACATTAGGTATGTCTTTTATATAGTACAAAAAATAAAACACTGTAGAAGAATAAATCGGAATCGGAAATTTCAAAAGAATTATTTGTTTCGGAATATATCGATAGGTAGTTGACGGAAAGACGTTTACAAATAAATGTAATAATCTTGAATTTGAAATCATTACTCACGTATGAATCTTTCTATGAATAGTAATATCGTGAAAACATAGAACAAGAATAGATAAAATATGTTCTGTCTATTCTCTTCCAAGAACGTGGTGAGTGTATCCCATTTCAATCTGACGAAATTCTTTTCCTGATCCATATTAGGCTCGATATGGAAACTGGTCATCCTTGCAACATTTGTAGAAGTATCCAAGAAATTTTGTTTGACACCTTTGCAGTCTAGGCCAATTGCCACAAAATCACCTTTGTACTCTTTCATCATGATTCGAAAGTCATCATAGGATAGATACAATTTGTGTTCTAAACCAACATCCTGAAATGAGAGAAACTGAATCAAACACGGTGGTAGACAATTGCCTCCCGATATTTCTAGGACTGGCGGTACATATCCGAAAACAAAGTTGACATTTTTGTTACATCTGTTCGAAGATGAATAATAAGAGACATATATGGAATGGAGGTATTATGAATATCAGGTTTTCTGTAATATATCCTCTGACAGCCTTGAAATACTCCATTCATATACAACATACACATTTTTTTCTTCACGACTGTGGTGAAACACGGACATTCAAAAGCATATATCAGTTGTGGCAAAAAATTCCTATGGATTGTTCAACACACATTCTGAACAATTTTTACGAATTACATTTCGATTTTTTGAAACCCTCAAACAAACTCAAAACTGAAATTTGATCAGTACGTTGGATTCCTCTTCCCACCAGTTTTCCAAAGAGTGGTGAAGAGCCATAGGGTTGCATTTGAAAAAGATATACTGAGGCGGGTGGTTTCAGCTAATGAAATTTCGATTACATAGGTATAATATAGCGATATCATCATCATAATCTCTGAGACTTCAACTGAGAAAGTATCAGGTATATCTTTCGATCATGCCAAAATTTTTCAATAATCATATCCATTAAAAATAATATTCTTACAACTTACAGGTACTGATGACAATTCTGAAGAATCATCTTCAGACAGCGAGAGCAAAGATGACTCTGAAGATAATGATAGAGAGGACGACGTATAATTCTTTCTTTGAGATATAATATTGTTTTCATTTATTATAATTTCATTTTCGAATAATTTTTCTTTATGTGAACAACAAAAATGTAGATTAAAGTTCAGGCTGCAGACCCCACACTATACCCAAAACATTCAACAAATTAAATGTACATTCTTTATATATTTTTTAGACGCCAGTATTATGATAAGCAGTCCCATAAGCCCCAGGGAAGAATTTCAAGTCGATTTATTGTGAGTTTCGATCATGAGCAATAATCCACCCTTCTTCTCCCTGTACGATCCCTCTTGATCATCCTGCGAGTATTTTGTCGTCAATTTCTTCATCATCTTCTCAAAGCCCTTTTTTTCAAATTAAAATCACACAAAAAATTTTCTTGGTGCTAAACCTCTCACACATGTAATTTTGTTGAGCTATAAATTTCTGATGAATAAATACAAATATATCTGCAATTTGCGTCTTCGAATACCCCCATCACTCCCAGGAGGTTGATCATTGACCCGGTTTCATGTGAAGTGAGATAATGAGACTTCCAGATTATCTAGTTCGGTTTCGGTGCACCTCTGGCCTGCAGTGCGGGGCGCCGCGCCGGACCGCGCGGGTTTGCCCGATTATTACAACGTATGCTCACATTGAATTCGTATGCAAATAGCATCCAGTTATACAAAATATCCTGGTTTATCGGTCCAGAGATGTGCATACGAACTTAAATCATCGATTATTTGAAAGATGTCTAGTCAATTGATGTTCGAATAAGTCGAGCTCCCCTCTCCGGAATCGTATGCAAATGTCGGGAAACTGATTAATGGGCCCGAATTAATTGTTTCGCCAAAGGGCATACATTCTTAGATCATCGACTATAACACTGAAAAATTGCCACTTCCGGTTCGTATGTCGCCCTTGGGGAGTGACCTAGGCATATGCAAACCGGCAACCGCCCAAATTTTCGTGAGAGGAGATCATTGCACTTCATTGCCGAGCTTCTTCTTGAACAAAATTTTGAACTTCTTTCCAACCGAAAGGTGAGGTTAGGGCCAGGGCAAGGACTGGGTTGCGACTCTCTGAGGCACTCCTTCCTGTTAACTTGGACTAAGTGGGTGGGTCCCTTAAATGGCATACCGACTTAGAACATCGATAAACCCTCTGTGTCGAGTGGAACATTTTGGTACTTCTCAAATTAAATAATCATATAATACCACAAGTGATAATATTTCCAGGAAATTCGTATGACTATTTCATGATTGAATTAGACAATATATATAAGAAATAGGAAACATAATTTATATTCCAACTCGAACTGCGAAGAAGAACATAATGATAGTAATGAAATACAGAATTTACCTTTTTAGAAATTAGCTACCTACTTATAGTTATTCACAAAGTGGGATGTACAATTTTGATAAACAGTATTTTTTTTATTATCTTGGAGATGGTTGCTTTCAAAAGAGTGTATACAATTACTATCCAATTCAAACAAAATAAATTGAATTTATGTGACATGGAATAATTAAAAAAAAGATATTGTCGTCGAGGGCTCGAACCATCGACCTTCGTATCCACGCGCAACAACCCCAACAGTTGCGCTACATCAGCTAGTAATTATATCGGTCAGTCACAATAACTTGAGTAACAGAAGAAGATCACTTTAAAAAGGAATTTGAATTCTATTATTGTTGTGTCAGACCGTCAACAAATATGCAAACTTTTTAGATTACACATGAAACGTCCAGCCAGAATAAAATTGTCTAGCTTTTAGTACAAAATATCTCACTAACGCGAATTATAAGTGAATAAAATAAAGTAGGAACTTAGGTCATCGTCTCAGATATGGATCCAAAGCAGTCTTGACCAGACACGATGTCAAAATTTTATCGCTGATAAACGAGGTTAGTTGGTCACGTGTGGGTCAATTCGGCTTCTGTATTGGTAGAGCAAGTCCGATAAAATTTAATAAACAAAAAATATCGCTAGAATACAGAAGAAACCATGGAAATGATCGATTCTGTTTGGTTCTCGAGATCAAGAGTGGAATAGTCACTCAAATACCTTCCAATTTCACATTTTTTGATAATGTTTCGGTCGATTTTCAGGTGCTAAAATCATCAATAATGCCACGGTAATTTTCAAAAGGTTAGAAATTTACCGCCAGTAAAAACTGACGCCACGATTTTGCAAGTACGGGTAGACCATATAGCACAGTTGCCATGTGTTGAAATACTATTGAGAACATTAGGAATAATAGTTATTGAATTCCTTAATTCATAAATTCGCAATCAAGTATTGGTAATATTCCTAATATAGGAATGAAAATCCAACTGTCTCAAGATGTTCTCTGATAAAATTTGTGATTTATTGCTTATTATATAATTTGTGTAAATATTAATTATATCAATTCACATAAGAGGACATTTGAGTCGGTGAATGTGACAACAGCGCTCGAGTTTTGGGCGTGGTCTTGTCAGTTATTAGCACTCAGCACAGTGTTGCCAATTCTCCAAAATTTACATGATATTTTGTTATGGAAAATGAGAAATATTTCGACATGTTGGTTGCTCGAAAAAGTCAAGAATATCATGGGTTCCTCCAATTATGTTTTATTCAATGACAAGTAACCAACATCTCTTTGATAACTTGAATATGACTTGACAATCTTGCTTCGTGAGTGGGAATGGAAGATTATATAACCAATAACTAAACAGCATAAATATTGACGTCACCATTTATTCGACGTATCGCCAAACGGCGGCCATTCGTTCAATGAGCTCTGTAATTCGAATTTCGAACAACGCATAGACATATTATTTAAGTAGAAAAAGCGTGAGAAGTGTTGCGCAAATTAATTCAGGTTCCTAACGACACAGTGGAATAATTAAATGCCAATAATTCATTATCAGTCCACTCGCCCATTGTTATAACTTTAATTAGCGCGATGCCCAATTCCCACGATGCCCAATTCCCACGATGACCGATTCCTACGATGCCCACCTTCATGTAGACGAAAACGAAGATTTCCGAAGAGCGCAACGTTGCCAGGTCATGAGAAAAATTCAGAAAACACAAGATTCCCACCATGCCCACTTTTCATACATTCCCACGATGCCCAATTCTGACCATGCCCACCTTCTTTGGATTCCCACCATGCCCACTTTTCATTCATTCCCACGATGCCCAATTCCCACCATGCTCACCTTCTTTGGATTCCCACCCCATGATAAAGGTGGGCTTGGTGGGAATTGGGCATCGTGAAAATTTGGCATCGTGAAAATGCATGAAAGGTGAGCATGGTGGAAAACTATAGAAGGTGGGCATCGTGGGAATATATGAAAAGTGGGCATGGTGGGAATTTAAAGAAGGTGGGCATGGTGGGAATTGGGCATCGTGGGAATGCATGAAAGGTGGGCATGGTGGGAATCTATAGAAGGTGGGCATCGTGGGAATGTATGGAAAGTGGGCATGGTGGGAATTGGGCATCGTGGGAATGTATGAAAAGTGGGCATGGTGGGAATCCGAAGAAGGTGGGCATGGTGGGAATTGGGCATCGTGGGAATGTATGGAAAGTGGGCATGGTGGGAATCTAAAGAAGGTGGGCATGGTGGGAATTGGGCATCGTGGGAATGCATGAAAGGTGGGCATGGTGGGAATCTATAGAAGGTGGGCATCGTGGGAATGTATGAAAAGTGGGCATGGTGGGAATCTAAAGAAGGTGGGCATGGTGGGAATTGGGCATCGTGGGAATATATGAAAAGTGGGCATGGTGGGAATCTTGTTTTCAGAATTTTTTTCTCGACCTGGCAACGTTGCGCTCTTCGGCAATCTTCGTAATCGTCGACATGAAGGTGGGCATCGTAGGAATTGGGCATCGTGGGAATTGGGCATCGTGGGAATTGGGCATCGTGGGAATTGGGCATCGTGGGATGCTCCCACTTCAATTTGGTCATCAGAGACGTCGTGGGCCAAAAATTATGAAAAACCGCTATCTGCCACCTGGGTGAATCATAGCAGGGTGCGGCAAATGGAAGAAATAGTTCAACGGCCACTACGATGTGACACTCGTTTAAAGAAACCCTGTTTACCAATAATTGATAATCAAGAAATCACAAACAGATATCATGCAACAATAACATTTTCCCCAGAAGGTTATAACATTTCTGAATGTTTAAGATTATCAGTTTTTATAGAGAAAGTAAAAGTACTATGGACTAAAACTTTCGAACCAAGAATACTCTGCGATTTTATAATATGTCTATGAATATAATAAAATGAAAGGAGTGAGCAGAAATAAATGTACTGATGTGATTTGAATAATTCATGGCTATTTTAGGTTTGCAGTAGTAATCCTCCTGAACATTCGTATCATGAAAAATAAATGAACTTTACCTGGAACATCCCATTGATGAGTTCTGTGACATGATCATCAGATAACCTTGTCGTTCTAGCAATTTCCACTAATGATCTTAGCATTTCAGACAGTTCTTTTTTGTCAATCTCACCATTCCGGTCATCATCACACATGTCGAAAATAATTCGCAATTTGTCTTCTGCCTTCCCACGAGAGAACAACACTACCGTATCCAAAAACTCCTAAAACAATATTATAATGTAGATACTAATTCCAAGAACTCTCATTTCCATTCGTACTCACTTGAAATGATATCCTTCCATCCTTATCCTTATCAACGATGTTGAACATCTTCTGCACGAATATTGCATCCGGTTTCATGCCAAGAGCATTCGCAAACTCGCTTTCTGTTAACGAAGTACGCATTACTGTAACTACTTCGCCATCGATTGTAGTATCCAACCATCTCCGTTTTTCTCCTGGTCTCAGACCAAAGGTGAGGGCATAAGCCTCTCTGAAAAAGTGCTCCAACTTTTTTTCACGGCGCTGTCGTGTTTCAGCTTTGGCCAACATGATTTCTCTTACTATCTGTTCATGAAAAATAAAATGAACGAAGCGGTTGAAATAGGTACTGCAGAATAGGAGATGAAAAAGTTGCTAAATCAAGGAAGGTTTTTGATGGATGAGTAGTACATTTCAGTTCGGAAGTTACGTTTTATTATCTAATATTTCGATCATTTTAATCAGCTGAGAGTTGGAATTTGAAACTATAAAGGAAAAATACAACGTAAACCTACGTCGATATTAGGTACTAATTGATTTCAAGAAACAGAATTTTGAATTTGAATTTGAAGAGTTAAAAATATGAGTGAAAAATACCGAATTGCTGACTGAACCAGAATCTTTCCTTCTAGTAAAAGTGAAACTGTGGTGATTTTTTTTGATCTACCTAGTGAACAATGTTAATTTCTTATAGCTTATTGTTGTAAGTTGTAAGTGTGGAGCACACAAAAGTTTATTCAAATGGACAACCCTGCATATTTTTCTTCGGACTGCTATTTCTTTTAACTTACATTGATAATAATGAAAGTTGGTGTATTTATTACTGGGGGTTGTAGAACTATAAGATGAAATACTAACTAATAAAAGGATTATATTTGAGTTGAACCCACTAGCAATAACAAAACTATAAAATATGCTGACAATAACCTGAACTATATCAACGAATCCGAGAAGTTGTGAATAAACTTCTCAGGTTATTTCGTGAGCAACTATATGATAATGCGCTTTTGTAGTTTTTCTGTATCTAAGAGCGCACGAAAGAGAATCCCTATTAAGTTCGAGGAACATCGTGCGTAGGGAGATTAGGGAGAAAAGCAGGTAGGTATACAGATGTTTTTCAACTTTTGGAGGTTATCATAAGTTCTTGGAAATACTTCCTTCCGTAAAGAATCTTATATAGTTTTGCCATTCTATCGACAAAAACATGTTGGTAAAGAATTGTTCGACATATCTGGAGGTTGACGACGAAGAAATGAGTTCAAGGGGCGTGTTGAGTATGTCTGACTGAAATCGCTGTTGATGGAATGATAGCAGACAGAGATTCCTGAAAAGCATTTACCGTGGAAATATCTTTAGAAAAGCAAAAGGTCGCCGAATTTCTCACGGTGTTCCAATGATGTCAAGAAGTTAGTGAGTGCAGCAAGAACAACCAGGTGAATGGCAAGTCTCTGGATGGAATCTTATAGGAGCATCTGCGTTATATGTTCCATGTGTGGAAACAGTTTTCTCAAACGGTACGTATCTGTGCTTTGTAGATCATGAGAATTGTAATTATTGAAAAATGAATAGGTACCGACTCTAATGAACAGATTGACATTTCATAGCTCCAACTCTCTATATATATGAATCTACTTCATGGTTTAGTTGGTTGAATTCATTATGACTCTGAATGGAGAATTTCAATGTAATCATAATTATCTGCAAGGAAAGCCAATTATTCATATGAGATTGGCTCTTTTGTCACAAAAATATCTTCTGACTTCTCAGAAGTTATGATCATTGTTTCTGTAAATTAGTTTATCCACACCTTGTGTTACCACGTAAACACTTATTATTTATAACATACTAGAAGACTACTATAACTTATTCCTGATATCATCATAAACTGTTATTATTGATATGATATACCTATTCTATCATCTTACCCCTGTACAGATGAGATTCTTCTTATTCATGTTCAAGAAAGTTTGAAGCTTGTTGATGAATTTTTTCTTCGAACCAACAGAATCCACTTCCAATACCAAATCGTGGTCTCTCGGTACATGAATAAGTATCATCGGATTTTTCTTCACTGTAACATCTATAGATTCTTCGATTACAACAGTATCCGTATTCTTCAAGTTCACCTATTTCAAAAAAGACTTTGAACACTCATGGACATAATCTATCCATCGCAAATTTTATAAGTATAATATAGAGTGTAAACAAACCGTTCTGAGTTTCTCCCCTTTTCGTCCTATTACATGTATAGCAGCCTCAGGTCCGAACTTGATCTTAACAACCCTCCTATGATTGGCATGCAGCCATTCCTGAACTATCATCGTATCAACAGGAAGTTTGAATTCGCCGTTTCGTAGTTCTTCTTGTTTTATCTTCAGTCGTCGCCTGCGCCTGTTCTGTAGTTTCACCACACCGTATCCTGCGCCTGCGCACAAAATGGGAACGAAGCCAAGGAATACACAAGCGTAGATATAAACCATTTCGTTTCCCTGTGAAAAAAAAAACTACTGAAACAACTTCAATATTTCATCATTGACATTAATAGTAAGCACGATGGTGTTCCTACATAGAACATTTCGGGAGTAGATAAAGGCAATTGAGATTGAGTTTCTTTTGATTCAAATTTATCATCATTTCATTTGGTCTGAAACGGTATCTGAATGAGGGATCTTTTCGGTTCAATGATACTACTTCCAAAACCAAATTATCGAGAAAAAAATATATTGCTGTTAAATGCAGTAACTAGAAGAGTTATCTGAATTCTCTGTGAGTTCAACTGCGAATAATGGCTTATTAGTTGATATTAAGCTCTTTGAGGGTATGATTATGGTTGCGGTTGGTATTGAGGTACAGGGCTAGCCAAAGAACTCAAAACGAATTTGAGGGCAGACGGAGTAGATCTAAAAAGGTCGCAGTGTGGAGACAGATAGCCCCAAGGCCCCAATCTAAATCTAATCTAGGTACAGAATAACGAATATTACTGATTTGGATATCAAGGAATCCACTCTTGAAACGGATAATGCTACCATGTTTTGTCGGCTGGACCAAGATAAATAATTGAAGGTGATATTAATTAAGATGAGGCAAAATCTGGTTCAATTGTGAATATAACTGAAATATACGGGTCAAAATAAAAGCATGCATGCATAGATTTTTGATGGAATCCGCTATGATACCCCGTAAACACCATTCGAAAACCCAATAATTTCGTAAAACATTCATCTCACGTCATGTGCCAGCAGTTGGATTAGCCCGAGTGGTCGGATGTGATTACTATTCCGAGGAAATTTCGAAGTGAATGACTCATTATCACAGTATTCAAATTGAACAAAATCTCTAATTGATATATTGAATTTCTCGATTGGTCAGGAAGTCTATTTTAAATCATAGTCTTGATATCTCAGCAGAACTATGTTGTTACATTATTGGCCGAGTGTCAGCTGAATTATAGGCAAACGATTACAATATACCATATAATGGGCCGACGTTTGACCAGTGGAGCTTGGCCATGGCTAGTAATCTGCCGATCTACCATGTACTGGGCCAGAAGCCGACCAGAGATTTGATATTTGATGGGAAGCAACTGAAATTGATATTTTGAATCTTCAATACCTTCAATAAGTTCCATTGGAAAATGACTTTTGAGTAATTAATAAAACATTTGTCTCGAAAACGAAGCAAGTTTGGTACTTTTTTTCATGAAATATGACAAGGTGTCACAACCCCTAGATTATTTCGCACCTGTTCATTCACACCCTGTATATATACAGTGTGTTTCAGCCAAATGGAATAAATTCGATAATGAATGAACAGGGGCGTGTTCGAAAAAACGCTCGGACACGTCGATTGATATTTTTAGAAGCGCATCTTCTTCAACAAAAAATATACAGGGTGTGACATATAACAGCAGCCAATTACCAACTTTCATATTTCAAATGCAACACCCTGTATTCGATTGAATTTTCAGTGAAATTCTAGACGTATTTCATGTACGATGTTCTATACCTATCTCCAAATGTTCCGAAATATTGATTGTTTCAAGATTTTTTGCAAGATATGGTCTGATGATTGTATGCCCCCAGTAGTTGTCTGTGATATCGTCGTTCGAATTTCGTTAACTATGGGATATTCAAAAAATGATCTATTTAATAAGAATACTTCAGATGATGATGGGTTACGGAGATAACACACGGACACAGTTGGAAGTTACTTGCTTTTGAGTGTATGATAAATTGACATTCATCATACAGGGCGTGGAAAGAAATTCTGAATTGAGACTCTATCACGAATCTGCGATTAGAGGTCTATAAAAATCACAAGTTTCCATCGTTCAAGTTTGAACCCCCTGATTGGGTATGAAAGTGTTGAAAAGGAATATTCTCAGATAAATTATGAACATACAAAAATAGATATATATTTATATGAAGCAATACATTGAGAATTCGCATTCTCTATGTGATGAGAATATCTACTCTTTTTCAGTTTACTCAATAGAAAACAACTACTTTCCTGGCTATATGCAACGACGAACATTGAATTATATATATCTATTGAACACACGATAAGAGTTTGAAAATAAAATATAAAAACTTCTGAAATTGAGAATTTGCATTCTCCTTCAGACAAAAATATGTATATGCACACATCATTCTGAATATTCAACAGAAAACAACAACTTTCCTGGCTATTTGCCACGTCGAACATTGAATTATATCTGATGAACATTCAAAAGTAGAACATGAAAAATAAAAAGTTACTTGCTTATTCCATGAATCATATTTCCGAAACAGTTGGAGTTGGTATAGGACATTTTACATAAATCATTTCTAGAATTTTCTGAGGAATCAAAAAATTGATTAAAATACAGGGTGTTGCTTTCAAATGAAAAATTTGGTATTATTCGCTGCTAGATGACACACCCTGCAAAGAAAGTTTGTATTGAAAAGAATGTGCTCCTGAAAATTCAAACGACGTATCCACGTGATTTTTGGAACACGATCTCGTTTATTCGGTTGGAAATACTTGATACAGGGTATTCCAACAAAAACTTGACCCCCACATATCTAGAATACCTAATCCTCTGCCAAAAATTGCCGGAACCCGTAGATTTTTATAATTGAGGGAAGCATTTTTGATAGTTTAATGAACTTGGTGTGTTCATCCCCTTAACCCTTAGAGAGCCCGACTTTGAAATTTCAAACGAAACTACCCTACTCTCAACACATCATTTTGAAGCCCTTTCTATTGCGAATTCTATTGTGTATCGTCTTTGAGAATCGGTTGAGATTCAACAGAAAAAATAATGCTTGACAATAATTAGAAATCATAACGAGAATGTCGGTTCGTTTATATTACTGTTAAGTATTGATTCTATTCAATAACTCAAATTCCAACCAAATTCCAAAAACGATGCACCAAAGTATTAGCAATAAAAATTGCTTTAACATGATGTGCTGGAAGCATGGTAGCTTCATTTGAAATTTCATAGTTGAGGTAGCTAGGACGGTGTTAGGACACATCAAAATAATTGACGGTTCCTGGTGAAGCATCCGGTTATCTAGTTATAGCAGGGTCAAGTTTCCGTTGAGAGACCCTGTATTTCCGGAACAGTTGAAGTTGGGTAGGACATTCTACATGGAATACGTCTAGAATTTTATGAAGAATAAATACAAAAAGCTCAAAGACATTTCCACTCAATGTTCATAATATGAACAACAATGGACAATTTCGGGGAGAAAAACAACTTCTTTCCTGGCTAATTCCAAGCAGAACATTGAATTACATCCTCCCGAAATCTATGCACCGACTCGTATAAACGAATACTGATACAAGTGATAATTCTTTCCTGAATGCCTATTGATTCCGATTTAGCCAGGCCACGCTAGACACCTACAGACCGGTTTCGAGCTCTTTGGATCTCATCAATGCAGGGCAGTCTCCAGCCAGCAGTCCTAAGACCGCCGACTAAGCGTAGCCTATAGCCAAACAAAATTGAGTCGAAATTATATTCCCTTAGAGGCGTTCTCCATAGACAATATGAGAGCAACGTCATCTTAGTAGAAAATATGGAAACAGACATTCTGAACCAAAATTCCCATACGGGAGTGGCTAGTTGCCCGAATGGCGTAATTTCAACTACGAAATCGCCACAATTTTCTAAGTGGAATAAAATGTTGAATAGAGACAAGAAGCTCAAAGTCATTTCCACACACTGTTCATGAAATGAACAACAATGGTAGATTTTGGGAGAAAAACAACTAATTTCCTGGCTAATGCCACGCAGAACATTGAATTACATCCTCCCGAAACCTATGCATCGATTCGTATAAACGGATACTGATACAAGTGATTCTTTCCTGAATGTCTATTTATTCAGATTTATCCACGCCACGCTAGACTCCTGCACTGATGAGAGCCAAAGAGCTCGAAAACGGTCTATAGGTGTCTAGCTTGGCATTGTGGCTATTTCGTTGTTGATTCTATAAAGAATTCAATAATTGAGTGAAAAACAGAGTGTTGCATTTGAAATAAAAAAGTTGGTATAGGCCGCACTGTTATATTGCATACTATGTATAAAAAGATTTTATTCGAAAGGGTGAAAAGGGTCCAAGCGTTTTTTCGAACACGTTCTCTTCTATTCATTATCGAATTTATTCCATTAGGTTGATACACACACTGTATGTATAGTAAACATGCTAAAAATTACTTATGATACTTATGTTCATTTTTCACTATTCATTTTATTTTCTAAATACCTCAAAATAATCATATCCACTTATAGTTTTGCAAGGTTCCATGATACTGATGTTCAATTGCATAGGTTGTGGACAAGGGTCACCCTTCACCCAAAAAAATACATTCTTCTGGATAGCTTTCGGATCAATATTCGTACTATTGACGATAATATCCCACATAGTAATCTTTCGTATCTCTTCGATTTCCTGTTTTGAGAATAATCTGAAAGAAATCAATACCAATGATCATCAACCTACTTACTATACCTACTGTATCGAAATGCTATGATGATGGTTCTGTTCTTTCAGACAACTCATGAGGCCTGTTCGTATGTGCTTGCTCTACCTGCTACACTTGATTTTTTTCTATGCCTTTCTCTGTTCAGATTATGCCATGAACAGAGACAACTATGGAAAAAATCAACTTCAGCAAGTTCATCAATACAAACGAACAGGTCTATGGTAACAATAAAAACAAATGAGAAACAAATGAAACATTGGCTTCTCTACTCTCTAGCATTATGTATGCTCAAATCATTCTGAAAACGAATAATTATGATTGAGAAAAATCTTACTCATTGCTCTCATTTTCGAACCAGAATCTATCAGCATCTCTAATTCTCAAGAATTGATCCCTGATAACTGCTCTGAATAGTTCACCAGGTTTACCAAAACTCTCCAACATTCCTCCTACATAAACATCGATGTTTTCGATATCATTCGAATATGCTGCTACTAATAACCTGCAATAATTGTCAGAACTCAAAATAGCAATTCTTGTCGACACATTCTCGAAAATGTATATTAAGTTTATGAAAATGAGATAAGATCAACATATAACATAACATATATACAGGGTGTTTCGAAAAAAACCAACCCCCTTGCTAGGGTAGGTAGAATATTGCAAAATGAGTTGGGTTGGCTCAGTGAAAAAATGTCGTAACGGCATCCGTTTTCAAGATACAAGGTGTTGAAAAAATATTTTTTTTACACATTTTTCACGATTATGTAGAAACTACTGGCAACATTGTGATGAAATTCTGTATGAATGTGTTCTGAAAGCTGACACACCGTATGAATTTGTTCTATGAATCTGACATTCAAAGAGGGCGCTAGTTACACTGTTCGTACCGAGTACTTTTGAACACAATAAGTATTATAAAAAACAATCATCTATTCATTGAGGACCAAAAACATTATTTTATTGCTGCAAAATGTCCTCCGTTTTTACGAATACACAATTCGATCCTTTTTTCTACAGAATGCATCAATCTTCTCAACGGTTGAGGATCAGCTATGAGATCATCGAAGTGATGTTCAATTCTTTCTTGCAGCTCTTGACGTGGTTATTAATAAATAGGTAACAGTCTTTTATAATACTTACTTCCAACTAGCATCAGTGTTACACGTCAGCATTCTCAAATCGAAATATCCCGAAAACGATACACAGTATCAACTTTTACCAAGAGCACATTTTCAGTGTGAAATTGAATGATATTCAAGTTCACATCAAATTTGGACTGAAAAATCTAACCCCAAAAAACTTATGTTTAAATGTACTCAGTACGAACCGTGTAACTAGCACCCTCTATGAGTGTCATATACAAAAACAAATTCATGCGATGTGTCAGCTTTCAAAACACATCTATACAAAATTGCATCACAATGTTGCCAGTAGTTTCAACATAATCGTAAAAAATTTGTAAAAAAAATATTTTTTCAACACCTTGTGTCTTGAAAACTGATGGCGTTACGACATTTTTTTACTGAGCGAACCCAACTTATTCTGCAATTTTCTACCTATCCTAGCAAGGGGGTTAGATTTTTTTGAAACACCCTGTATTCTTAAGTAAAAAAATGGCGACGAGTAGTATTTTTAACAATCGTGCAGGGGCCTGTGTACAATAAATCAAAATCATATTAAACTGTACTTTATTCTCTTATTGACCATTTTTTTATATCTCAAGAAATATACAATATGATTTTGACTGTTCTCAAATTGAATTTGAAATTCGATTCGTACCTAAGATAGGTATATATATATATATATATATATATATATATTACCTATTTTAAATTCTCATAGTATCGAAAAAAACGTACAAGTTTATGAAAGAGACAAAGGGCTATCGGGAATGATTGTTTACGAAATATTGACAGTTGTCATGATAGAAAATAACACTTCGTTTCGCTCCACCTGACGGCAGCAACTTGAACACTTCTGAGCGGTTTGTTTTGATGATATGACCAATGAGCACAAACAAAAAAACAAATGTGGACCAATGGAAACAAAGTAAACATGCCGCTTTGACAACGTTCAAGAACTCCGATAGATACATGTACGCTTCTTTATGGAATACAACTGTACACACACAGAATTTTGCTGATGAAAGCATGTAAGTAATTCATTATGAAACGAATTTTCAGTTTATTGAAACACGTACACGGGATGATCATTATTACACTATAGTACGCGGTTTGCGATACTCGTATCGTTACTTATTACCTCGGTCGTCGCATAGAATACTAATTTTTGTCGACCTCTACAAAAAATCACGTTTTACGTTCAGATTTCCGAACGAAAAATCGATTTTTCCCGATGGCAAGTACTTTTCGTCCGCTGCAGGGTTGCCAGTTCTACTGAGTTTTTAGTAGATATTCTGATTTGCATATTGATCTACTGAAACATTTCATATTCTACTGAAAAATATTTCTACACTTTTTCATTTTTATAATTACCTTTATCATTATTAATCTTCAGTTAATCACATACACTTAGAGATTGCATGATATTCCAGCACGCTCTGTTTAATTACTTTTACAAAATTAGCAATAAATGTACATACAGTGTGTGCGATTTCAACCCACAACACCCTTCTAATTTGGAACCCGTCGACCGATTTTCAAAAACAAAAATTTCATAACATAGAACTTAACGAGGTATATTCGAGAATGTGGACAAATCTGAAATATTTAGATTTTCATGGCCTTCTTTTGATTGTTGAATGGGTCAAAATTCTAAAAACAACTATTACACAATTTTTTGTCGAAACAATGACTAGCTCATTCGATTCAGGCATATCTTAAATACCCCCATACGAAATTTCACTGCAAAATCTCATATAGGGTGTTAGTTATTCAATGGAAAATTTTGATATTTTTGATTTTTCGATTCACCTTGTATCAAAATCTAAGGAATCGATATAACTGGTCAACTAGTCATTCAATGGAGAAACACATCGAATACTTGCAAACGAAGTTTCATTGTTGTAACTTTCACAGGAAGATCTCTCTAGTTCAACCAAAAATTAATAAAATTAAAGTTAAGGTTCACCATTTTGAAAACTCAAATGAACCGTTTTTCACACACTTTACCACACAGTTACTTTGAAAATCGTCTCGATTGATAAAGATCTGTCGAATATAACACAAATGGAATGACAGACAAACGCTCTCATAATAATATACCGATTTTGGCGAAATGGAAGAGAAATCTGAGATGACAATGAAAATTATTATTTATAGAGAATATTTCCTCGAACAAGTTTCCATTATTTATATATATCGAGGATGTAATGTTTGGTTGACAATGAGAGATCTTCCTGATGTGTTCCTCCATTGGATGACTACTTTACCGGTTAAATCAACTCCTCGGATTTTGATACAGGGTGAATCGAAAAATAAAAAATATCAAAATTCGCCACTGAATAACCAACACCCTATATGAGATTTTGCGTTCAAATTACGTATGGGGTTATTTCAGCTACGCCTGAATCGAATAGGCTGGTCACAGTTCTGATAAAAAAATGCCTAATAGTCGTTTTTGAAATTTCGACCCCTTCAACAAACAAAAGTAGGACTTGAAAATCTGAATATTTAAAATTTATCCATTCTCGAATAGATCTCGCTGAGTACTATATATTATAAAATTTTTGTTTATGTGAATCAGTCGACGGGTTCCAAATTAGAAGGGTGTTGCGGGTTGAAATCGCACACACTGTATATGTATATAGGTACTAATGATATGTATAAACCAAAAAAAGGCAATACTTTATCTGATTCGAATCAAATTGATTTTTTTATATACCTCTGTTATAACAGTTCGTTTCTTACATTTGATTTTTCATTTCTTCTGTATTTATTTTGTTTATTTTTATAATATTCGTTCCTGTTTCTTATATGCTGCTTACTCAGATCTTATAAGTTTCATGATTCGAGATATGAATAAATTAGTGGACTGTATGGTTTAAAAATTCATCGAAATCACAGAGCGGTCTATAAAGGCCACTTACCCATGATGTCTTCTTGCCACGCCAAATTCGTATAATCTGCTGTCTTGGAGATGGTACCATCGACGACCCACATCTGATATCCAGAACAGGACACTATGATTGCACTATATTGTTTTTCGTGTAATTGTTCATTATAGGAAGGAATTTAACCTTTGTTGGAGATTCACCGGTGTAATTAAAAACACGTGTATAGCTCTCAGAGAGTCATTAGAGAGAGAGAGAGAGAGTCATGGTTTTCGTGGTACTACGTCCTCGTGATTCTCTCCTTTGGGGAGGGGAAAGGATCCATGTGCCCCTAAGTATAGTGGCCAATAGATACTCTGTGATTGAATACGCGCGAAAAATTAGGATAAATATATGAGACTACCAACTAAGTCTTTTGGCAATTGTATGAACTTAATATCTATGCATCAAATACTGGCTTGATGAAACATACCGCCCATCAAAAATTGTGAAAAATTTTTTAAAAAAATAAACTTGAGAAATAAAAAAATCAAAAAATAAATCAATTTCTTTGCCTTGAGCAAAACATTACGACATAAACATTAATGATTAATCGGTAAGTGGGAGCGGACATACTTTATGTACCGGACGTTTGAAGGTACCCTTTGTGGTTTTTACTGAAACAACTCTAGTGATACCATCAGCTCCAGTATGTAACTCTGTTACTCGTCCCATATTCCACTTTAAAGGCGGTTCAAGAGAACCAATGTACCTAATTCGATGGGGACTGCGGAATCTGTCCATTTTGAACGCTGCAAGAGCGTATGGAGGTATTCGCGATGCCATCTTGCCCAAAAATCCTGTTGGATTCGCTGGACAAGCTGCCATCTCGAGAGCCTACCAATGTTCAATTCTGTCAGATTATGCTCGGGTAAGGAGTTGAGAGGTGCCAATGTTAGGAAGTGGCCAGGTGTGAGCACATTAAGATCATTAGGATCAGAGCTCATAGGGCTTAAGGGACGAGAATTAAGAATAGATTCAATCTGGATCATCACAGTGTTGAGTTCCTCATAGGAAAGGATCTGATCCCCAACAACACGAATCAAATGTTTCTTAACCGCCTTTATACCAGCTTCCCAGAGTCCTCCAAAGTTTGGGGAAATGGGAGGGATAGTGTGAAACTCAATATACTCAGTTTCAGCAGCTACGCGCATGAGGTCAGACAGTTTATTAGCAGCTCCAACAAACACGGTCCCTTGGTCACTATAAATATGATTACATTGGCCCCGTCGTGCGATGAAACGTCGGAGAGCGGCAAGAAAAGTATCGGACGTCATGTCGGTAGTGAGTTCCAAATGAATGGCCTTAGTCACCAGACAGATAAAGAGACATAGGTATGACTTTAAAACCTTAGCACCCCTAATACGACCCATTGTTACAGGAAAGGGGCCCCCATAATCGATTCCAACTCTGGAAAAGGGTTTTACCTGAGATAATCGGACAGATGG